GTGTAATTGAAAGATTTGGCGAAAGTTTCCCGCCGATTTTGGTGGCCAGCTGGGTTCCCGGGTTCCCGGTTCCAGGTTCCCGGGTTCCTGGTCATTGATTCTGGCCCGGGTGCGTTCCGGGTTCCCAGGTTCCTGGGTTCCTGGTCAATCTCTTTATCGGTTTCTTTATCGATCCCAGATTAAACCATCCATTAATTGGGGTGTTCTTCTGGTGTAAATTGATCTCGATAATTTCCAACGCCCCTGGTGCCATCCTGTTTGGGTGGAGCTGGGGGGAGGAAAGGATGAAACAGATAAGCAGATTCATCCTGGCGAAGGACGCCAACATCTGCAGCTGTGAGTAACGCGAATGTGAGTATCGTCTTCGGTGGAGCTCCCCCCTATGAGGCTACGAAACGTTTGAGGGGTGTGCCAGAATGGGTGCGGTGGACGCATGTGAGCAATGTGGACACTGCCACGGGCGCCTTCGGTGGAATTCCGTATGGGGCCACGAAGCGTGTGAGGGGTGTGCCAAAATGGACATGCGATGGGCGGGGAACCGCATGTGGACGCTACCACTGGGGCCTTCGATGCAGCTCCCTGTGGGGTCACGAACTGTGTGAGGGATGTGCCGAAATAGACATGCGGTCGGCGGGGAACCGCATGTGGAGGCTACCACTGGGGCCTTCGGTGCAGCTCGCTATGGGGCCACGAGCTGTGTGAGGGCTTTGCCGAAATTGACATGCTGTGGGCGGGGAACCGCATGTGGACGCAGTCCCTGGGGCCTTCGGTGCAGAAACTGTGGGGCCACGAAACGCGCAAGGGTGTGTTGAAAGGGACATGCGGTGGGGAACCGCATGTGGACGCTTCCACTGTGGCCTTCGGTGCAGCTCGCAATGGGGCCACGAAACGTGTGAGGGGGCTGGCGACATGGACATGCGGTGGGCGGGGAACCGCATGTGGACGCAGCCACTGGAGCCTTCGATGGAGCTCGCCACGGGGCCATGAAATGTGCAAAGGGTGTGGCGAAAGGGACATGCGGTGGGCGGGGAGCCGCATGTGTACGCTGCCATTGGAGCCTTCGATGGAGCTTGCTAAGGGGCCACGGAGCGTGTGAGTATTGTGCCGGCATGGAAATTCTTTGGGCGTGCCGAAATTGACATGCGGTGGGCGGGGAACCGCATGTTGGCGCTCCCTGTGCGGCCACGAAACGTGTGAGGGGTGTGCCGAAATGCACATGCGATGAGCGAGCAGCTTCGGTAGGGGTGGGAGGAGGGAGGAGGAAGGATGGAGGACGCGGGGCGCTGTCTCTTTGCAAAACGAGGACCCACCACCACAGGATGGTTGGGAATGGAGAAGAGGGAGGGTAAGAGGAGAAACAGGATACGGAGGGGGATGATGATGAGGATGGTTGGGAATGGAGAAGAGGGAGGGTAAGAGGAGAAACAGGATACGGAGGGGGATGATGATGAGGATGGGATCTAGGTAAGGAGGAGGACGGAGTAATGTGGAGTATTATAATGATGTTGTCGATGATGAGGATAAGGATGCTAGACTCGACCTAAGAAGGTCTTGCATACCTTTTCGCGCGACTCGGGACCCACTCAGGGTCCCGCCCTTGGCGTAGGCCGAGCCTGGCTTTGACCCCAGGCTCTGCCCACGCCGGCCTGGGGAGCATGGCGTCCGCCTCCAGGTCGAGGGCGGCGTCCACGGCGTGCTCAGCTGCTGATCTCCGCCACGAAGGAGGCGCAGAGCTGGGCGAGGTCGCGGGCGCGGGCGGCCGCAGCGGCCTGGGGGACCGCCAGGCTGCGCCCCGCCGCTCTCGCCGTCGGCGGCCTCCAGCTCCGCGTCGAAGCCGTCGTCGCCGCCCGTGCCCAGCATGCCGCGGCCGACCGTCCCACGGGCGTCCGCCGCTCGGCCCGTGGCCGCCGCGGCCGCCACACGCGGTGGGCCAGCCGTCTGGGCAGCCATCCCCCGCAGGGGCCCTCTGGCCGAGCCACTGCTGGAGCGCCCCTCCAGCACAGACAGAGATGCATCGTCGGCGGGGGAGTGGAACTCGCCCCCGCCCGACGAGCCCTCAAAACTCCCCTCGGGAACGGCGGTCGGGCCAGGCCGCCTTGTTGACACGAAACACGGGCCAGGCAGCTCGAGTGACGAGAAGACAGCGGCCCCGCACGTGCACACGATGATATGTGGGAGCGGCTCCCACCGTCCAGCCCCTGGAACGAAAGGAGGTGCATCGGCGCGAAGATTACCAGCTCCGCGACGGCCGCACTCGCCCGTCCCGCTGCCGCCGCCCCGCTGCAGCCTGTTGAGCCCCGTGTTGCTAGCAAGGGCGATGCCATCCGCAGGAGTGTCGAACACGTGCTCGGCCGCGTTGCGCCTGGCCCTGACTGAACCAGGGATGGGCTTGCCCTGCAGCCTCGCAGCCAAGACAGGAATGATGAGCAGAATCCTGCGACCCAGCTCGGACTCGGGCTCCATCGCCTGCTCGAGCTCAGTCTCCACGGCGCTGAAGTCGCTCCGTGAGGGCAACCACCTCGTGCCTCGCCGCTGGGAGGCCCGCGTCCGCTGACTCCAGAGCCCGCCGCCGCGCCGCCGAGCGCTGAGCTCGGTCCTCCGAGGATCGCCTGCCTGGCAACCCTTCCCGCAGCCATCCTCTCCTGCATGCACCGCCATCGCCCGGAAATGGCCACGGCGGAAAGCGGGAGAAACAGCTTGAGCCAAAATGGCTACGGATGAGGATAAGGATGATGAGGATGAAGATGAGGATGATGATGCTACTGCTTATGCTTATGATGCAGCTGATGATTATGATGATGCTGATGATGCTGATGATGCTGATGATGCTGATGATGATCCTGCTGACGATGATGATGATGATGATGATGATGATGATGATGATGCTGATGCTGATGCTGATGCTGATGCTGATGATGATGATGATGATAGCTGCTGCTGATGATGATGATGATGATGATGATGATGATGATGATGATGATAGCTGATGATGGTGATGATTATGATGATGCTGCTGATGAGGATGATGATGAGGAGGATGGGGATGATAATGACGGTTGTTGTGGTGATGATGCTGGTGTTGAAGATGGTATGGCGATGGTGATGGGGATGATTACGGCGATGGTGTTGTTGTTGATGATGATGATGATGATGATGATGATGATGATGACGTTGTTTGATTGATTGGTTGATTGATCGATTGTTGTGATGGTTGATGATGGGGATGGTTGTGGCGATGGTGTTGATGATGATGCTGATGATGATGATGATGATGATGCTGATGCTGATGCTGATGCTGCTGATGATGATGATGATGATGATGATGATGATGATGATGATGATGATGATGATAGCTGATGATGGTGATGATTATGATGATGCTGCTGATGAGGATGATGATGAGGAGGATGGGGATGATAATGACGGTTGTTGTGGTGATGATGCTGGTGTTGAAGATGGTATGGCGATGGTGATGGGGATGATTACGGCGATGGTGTTGATGATGATGATGATGATGATGATGATGATGATGATGATGATGATGATGATGATGATGATGACGTTGTTTGATTGATTGGTTGATTGATCGATTGTTGTGATGGTTGATGATGGGGATGGTTGTGGCGATGGTGTTGATGATGATGCTGATGCTGATGCTGATGCTGATGCTGCTGATGATGATGATGATGATGATGATGATGATGATGATGATGATGATGATGATGAGGATCGTGATGATCCAGAAGGGGAGGCATGCGAGGAGGATGGCGGGCGATGAGGGCTTGCTGGAAGCGACTCGGGTCCACGCCGGCTTGTCATCGCACGCAAGCCTCCGCAGGACGGAGCCCTTACCGCTCCGCCTGCCCCACCTCGGGCTCGGGTCTGCTCCTCCTCCTCCTCCTCCTCCTCCTTCCCTTCTCCTCCTCCTCCTACTCCTCCTCCTCCTCCTTCTCCTCCTTCTCCTCCGCCTCCTCCTCCCTCCTCCTCCTCCTCCGCCTCCTCCTCCCTCCTCCTCCTCCTCCTCCTCCTCCCACTCTCCTCCCTCCACGCCGGCTGCTCGCAGGCCAGACGCCGGCGGACATCCAGCGGCTGTACGAGGAGACGGGCAGGGCGCTGAAGGTGAGCCCGATGTGAGCGGCGGCGCAGGTGGCCGCTTCCCATCTCTTTCTCGCATCGTTTGACCAGGAAAGGAGGAGGAGGAGGAGGAGGCGGAGGAGGAGGAGGAGGAGGAGGAGGAGGAGGAGGCGGAGGAGGAGGAGGAGGCGGAGGCGGAGGAGGAGGAGGAGGAGGAGGAGGGGGGAAAGAAACACACAGACACAATGAATCGTCGATTCCCCAGAAACTGTGTGAAACTATGAGAATTGTGGGGGAAGACAAAAGCCAAGAAAATATGGGAAAGTAGGGGGAATCCTGTTATGTGTGTGTATTCATTGGTGTGTCCCAGGGCCCCTTCATCTTTCTCGCATCGTTTGACCAGGTGTAGGCATGTGGCAGCGTTTACGCCACGCTGGCGGTGACCTTTCCTTTTTCATGCGTGCAGAAGCCAGCGTCCCCGCGCGCTTTGCAGGCGTGCACCCGCGAGCATGCCGACCAGACGAATGCAGGAGAGGCATGCGCCACACCCCCCGTGCGCATGCACAGTCGCTCGTTGAGCCTGCGCACCTGCGCAGCATGATGCGCTTACCCAGCGTTGCCCAGGTCATCCCAAAGGGGCACGAAGATCGTCGCGCCTCGTCTTTGCCAGCCGGGGCTGGAGAGGCCGTGCGAGACCGCGCGCGTCGCGCTTGTCCTCATTGTCCTAATTGTCCTAGTTGTCCTGCTTGTCCCACATGTCCTAGGTGTCCCAATTCTCTGAATTGTCCTAATTGTCCTGCCTTTCGAAGTGTCCTAATTGCCCAAATTGTCCTGACGGTCCTAATTACTAATTGTCCTGCTTGTTCTAACTGCCCGAACTGTTCGAATTGTCTTAATTGGCATAGTTGTCTTACTCGTCCTGATCATCCTAGTTGGCCTAAGTGTGCTTATTGTCAGAGTAGGTAAAATTGTTATAATTGTCATGCTTGTCCGAATCATCCTATGCGTACTGATTGTCCTTACTGTCCTAATAGTTCTAAGTGTCCTGATTGTCCGACTTGCCCTGATTGTCATACTTGTCATACTTGTGCTAATTTCCCTGATTGTCTTGTTTGAACTAATTGTTCAAATTATCCTGACTGTCCTTACTGCCCTGATTGTCCTGATTCTCCTGGTTGGTCTGATTGTCTTGGTTATCCTGTTTGTCCTTATTGTAATCGCTGTTCTAATTGTCTTCGTTGTCCTAATCGGCCTACTTGTCCCAACTGCCCAATGCTCATGTTTGTCTCGTTTGTCCTAATTGTCCTAACTGTCCTGGTTGTACTGATCGTCCTGATTGGCCTGGCTGTCCTGGTTGTCCTATTTGTCCTTCTTGTCCTGATTGCCCTGATCGTCTTGGTTGTCCTGATTGTCCTAGCTGTTATACTTGTCCTAATTTCCTACTTGTCCGAAGTATAATTATGCTAATCGCGCTGATCCTCCTAATACGTTAGTCCTATTGATCCTAAATATACTAGGTGCCCTATTTGTCGTAAGTGTCAAAATTGATATAGTTGCCCTAATGCTACCGCTTGTCCCACTTGCCCTTTGTCGAAAGATGCTTGAAGCCATAGGCCATTCGTTTATGTCATTGTCTCTGCAGCAGTCTGGCACAACGCGCTCAAGCGTCGAGGCTAGGTGAAGGGTTGCTGGACTCCGCAGTGCCGTGAACAAGTACCTGAGTTGAGAACAAGATTCGCTTCCTTTCATTCGCTTTTGCCGAGCCAGGCGCCTCCCTCCCAGCAGGTGCCCCTTCGGGCACCCCCGGGCCTTGATGGCGAGCGAAGCAGGCGACAGCTACATCATGTGGATGTGGCGGCGGCCCGTGCCGAGCCAGCCAGGAGCAGAAGCTGGACCAGGCTCGGCCTCTGCGCCCGTGGGCTGGAAGGTCCTCCAGGCCCCGCAGGCGCAGAGAGCCACCAGCACCTCTTCCAGGACCTCGGGCAGATGGTTGAGCAACGCTGTGGCCACAGGGTGATCCCAGAGCTCGGCAAGCACGTCAAGCGGATGTCATAGGAGCTCTTCGCCAAGAGCAAGTGTCTTCAGGCGGCCAGGCGAGGTGTATAATGTTTTGACAGAGATTGAGCCACGATGCGCTCCGGGATGGTGGGGCGTTCGCAAAGTTGCAATCCGTTTTGAAACCGACTTGCTGGATTCAGTAAGACTCACAGCTGATGAAGATATACATGTGAAGCTTCCAGTGGGGGCCACTATACATGAGGCAACAGGGATGGCGGATAAGTTCTCGGGCGCTACCCAGCAAAACAAGTGACGTCGCAATTCTGGAGGCTCAGCGCCAGAGGCTTCGCCAGTGCAGAAACATGATGAATTTCGTGGATCGATGTGGTGCCCGCGACCTTCAGCAGAAGGAAGGTTGGCACTCTTTGGATTTAGATCTAGATGAAGAGGACATGGGCTTAGCAGGTATGTCGACGATCGTGCTGGATACTCACGTCACGAACCTTTACAAGGTGATCGTGGAAAAGGCTGCGGGTATCGACGGGCACAGCAAGAAAACCCGACTGACTAGATTGAAGTACAAGAAAGAGCTCATCGACGAGTTGGTGGCGAAACATTTAGAAACACCAACGTTATTACGACAACCTAGAATTTGCTTGATAATGGGCTTGGGGAAGGAAACAGGAAGAGCAAAGGCAACTACGCCGATTCAAGGGCCATCCAAGAGTTCGTAAGCTGAACGGGTGTGTATATGTCGACGGAAGCATCGCAGGAGACACCGTCGAGGAGATCTAAAGGAACGAGATGCCCCCGCCGTCAGTGGCGGTGATGTCATACAAAAGGGGGCAAATGATAGGACACATGCAAAGGAGATGGAGAAGGCAACGGCAGTAATGGGGAAACGGCAAAGCCAAAAGCAGCAACAACACCAGCAACAACATCAAGCATATTGATTACGACAAAGACACGCAGAAAGAGAAGGGCAAGGGCAAGGAACCAGGCAACATCGAAATCAAGGGCAAAGGCATGGGCAAGGCCTGAGCGCGCCAGCGTCCAAGCAGTCCAGGAAGAAGCAACATATCCAAGCTACTAAACATTCGTTCCGCGGAAATACAAACGCGGCCTGGTGCTATTCTGGTCGACGGTGAAAGGCATGTCCATCCCAGGGTTAAGTTGCTAGTATACCGTGGGGGAAAAGTCGGCTTTCGAACCGTCTCGTTTGGAGTGCTGGTTCCATGTTTGTTCTTTTTTGGGGCGAACGAAATCATGTGTCAAATGGAATCCCTTTCGTGTTTCGATCGCCCCCCGCGAGCACCAAAGCGATCTTCAAATTGCTGGGTTTTGTCTAGTTGGTGTCGGCGTGCCCGTTGGATATGCTATTTCGGCGACGTCGAAGACGAACAGCAATTCTGCTTTCGCAAGCACGCAGTCGGCAGTTGCCCACACTCCCGCCGCGAAGGGCAAGAACAGTCACTGAGCTCCCGAGCTTCTCAGCCTCAAGCATCTGGCAGGCGTGACGGTGGATAGCCAAAGGCCGTTTCTTGACGAGGCGGCAAGAGATCGTGAATGTATCAGGTAACCGCAGGATTGTTATGGAAGTCCTGCGGCACGGAATCGTCGGCGTTTCCCCGCGGACAAAGATGGTGGATGTCGCTTGGCCGACAAGGAAGAGTTAGTCCAAGATCATCTGCCGATTCTAAACGGCTGCATCTATTGATAAAGGAAATTCACTCAGGGCGCTTTTCGGGAATTTGGGGGTACTTCGGCGACTTTTCTGAGAGCGTCATGGTGGTTAGCCGTGTGCTGGCGACCTCTGGTATGTCACGGCACTCCTGTCATAGGGCCAGTGCGGATGCCAAGGCATGGTGTCCATGAGACATTCAATGGACACCCACAAAAAGGACGTCGAAATGACCTCAAGGCCCGCCCATGCCAGCACGGGGAGCCCCATGAGAGAAACCATGCAACATGTGGTTTTGCTTCTCGTTCGGTTCTTGCGCTGGCAGGGCCCTGAAAGACAGCGTGGACCTGGTCAAGAAGATATCCGAGGTTCCAAGGTCCCTATTTTGGCAGGTATTGTGTTTCATGAAATTCGGCACCGTGGATTTTGCGAGACGGACAACCACGATCGAACCGTTATTTTATGATCCCGTATTTCCGGGGACAACGCGCCAACAAAGCAGTTGTAGTGTATTTTCCGCCATAGCATCCTCCGGAACCAACCTGTATGATTTCCTGGCGAAAGCGCGCTTGGCTGGTGCGTCTTGGCACAAACATGGGCCTTACTTGTCTGGGATAAATTGCAGAGTAAGTTGCTCTTGCTCTGACCGAGGCAGACGACGCGGTAACAGCTGACGCGCTACGAGTTTTGTTGGACAAAGTAGCGTGGCAGTTGCAAGCATAATAGGTTAAGTATACAGGTAATCACACAAGATGCTGGTTTCGTGGGGAACCATGTGGTGCAACAGAGACATGCCGAGCCTTCTCAATATTAACATCTAGGGCTACGCGAAACACGACATAAACTTGTTTGGGTGTCGAATCCAATCAGGATGAGGAATGGCTTCGTGCAGGTAGGATGGCCTACTGCGTGTATGGAAAGCCCATATCCATTATCACATGTCTCCTCCTGTTCTCATCATGCCCCATGCGCCCATGCATGTACATGCCGCATATCCCCCTGCTCTCGTACACCGTGCCAGAATTCTCAGATGCAGACAACAAGTACAGCTGAGATAGATGCATTTGCCCATGTGCTTTTTTTTCAAGAGCGGCTTCAACGTTTTATTGAGGACTCCCCAATCGCCCCCCAGTTTGTAAGAGGGCGCCAGAAGTTTTTTCTGATTCTGCCAGTCTACAAGTGATGGGATTCAGCTGAATTTGGCAACTTGTTAAGTTAGCAGGTTGTCTTTTCGAGGGTGCGCTCTATCCCAGAATTACGTTCAAGTTGGGTTCGTGCCATCTGTTTCACACCCCCGCTGGGTCCAACAGGAACCCTGGGAGAAACAGCAGTGCTGTCGCGAGGTAGCGCGCGTGGAGGTTGGCTTGGGTTGGCGGCAGAG